ATAAGAAAATAAAATTTTCTGAAAGTGTTTTTTTTGAAAAAGTTGGAAACAAGTAAGCGTGAATACATTTATTAATTCCCTCATTAATAATTTTTACATTAATAATATTTTTTCACTAACTATTCTTTCATTTTTGGGAAGTTGGTAAAAAGTTGACTTTTGACTTTTTACCAGCTTTTAGCTTTTTAAAAAGTGATTTGAAGTTTGGTTAAAAAGCTGACTTTTGAATTTTTAGTTAATATTTGTTTATGGTGTCAAAATTAAATTTAAAATGACCAAAAATACCCTTACCCAACAATAAGAAATTTTTTTTTTTAAAATTTTTTTTGTCATAGACCCCAATTTGTAATTTCACACTTGCCGTTTTTGGGCACTTCCCAAACCAATTTTGCTTACGTTTTACCACTTACATTTTTGGAACATTTGACGAAAAACGTACTTTTTTAATTTTTGGTTCCCAAAACGGCACTATATCAAACTTAATCTGCCAAATAAAAAAACATAAAAAAAAATGCTTGGGGCACTTATAAATCGAATACTAGAATTGTAGTACTAATGATGCTACAGTAAACCCCTCTACTTTCTATGGCTTTTTCTTTTTCTTTTTTTTTACATTTCACAATATTATTAGTGTTGTCAATGGTATATTTTTTAATGATTTAAATGATTGTTGCAGCATATATTGATGTTGTTAAAAAAATGGGGGGAGTGGTTCCGTCGATGTTAGAAAGACGTCCCATCAGTTTCGTACCACTGATGGACCAATGAGAAAACCGAACAGGTATACATTTTGAAGCTTTTCTCCGAATGGGGATTGCCATTTTGCAAGACCCACTTCACATGCTCATGCTCTCCTCTCTCTCTTCATCCTCCGTTCCCACTCTCTTTCTTATGGCGCGTGGCGCGTGACTGTTGTTCACCCCAAATTTCCCGAGTTTTTTTTAATATTCTTAAAATAAATAAAAACAATAACAACATAATAATTTAGAGGAATTGACTTACTTTTCAAAAACTATTAAAAAATTAACTTACTTTTTAAAATCACATTTTTAAAATGTAATTTAAAATTAAATTGCATTTTAACATGCCAATTTCACCTTTGAAAAATCGCATCGTTAAAAAATACAATTTTCAAATAGTGAATCTACTCATCATAAATTATATTTTTTCAAACACTACGATTTCAAATTGCAATTTAATTTAAATTTGTAATTTTTTAAAATGTAATTTTAGAAAAGAAGACTAGTATTCCCAAATAGTTTAAAAAGTGAATCAATTCTTTAAAAAAAAAAATTTTAGAATATTTTTAAAAAAAAAAAACTCCCAAATTCTCCTCTCCAATTTTTCCAAAGGATAAATTACAAATATTACACATTTTTTTAAAAATATAAAAATTGTATTTATAATTTAAAAAATTATAAATATCTTTTTATTAAAAAATTTTATTTAACATAATTGATCTGAAAATAAAATAAATAATTGTTCTCCTCTACCAATAATAAAATTACTTGAAATTATTAATTAAGCTATATTTATGATATTATTAAAACTGTTAATTGACTTTGATAATTTATTTAATAAAAAATGACCATTTTTATGAATTTAGAAATTTAAAGGACAGGATTAATTTCAAAATTTACAAGAATTAAATCCGTATTGTAATTTATTCCTTAATCCAATCATAAAATAAATTATTAATAAAATAAAGAGTAAATTACAAATACACATGTGAGATTTTCTTAAAATATGAATTATCTCGTGTGATTTGAAAATTAAAATTTTTTTGTCAAAATTTTTATTTAGCTAAATTTGCCAAAAAAAAAAAAAAATTCTATTTTGTTCTCCTATATAATTTATAAAATTTACTTGAATTATTATTAAAATTATTTGTAATATCATAAAAAAACTGTAATTGACTTCATAATTATTAATAAAAAAATATAATTTTTTATTAGTGATTAGAAACTTGAAGGGTGGGATGTTAATTTTCAAAAATCAGTAGAGGGTAATTTGTATTTTTAGAAAATCTCAAAAGATACATTTTATTAATTTTATCCTTAAAACAAAATAAAACCGCCAAGCAAACATTCAAAAACTCAATTTAGCGGTAGTTTGGATGTGAATTTTTTAATAATTTTTTTTTTTATTTTTTTAACACAATTATGGAAAAAATTTACACGTCAATGAAAGTTTGTACAAAATATTTTACAGATAATGAAGGCGCTTATAAATTTAAATATTAATTTTAGAATGATGTATTTAATTTTTATAAAAGTTTATGTGTAAAAAAAGTCTATGTGAATTGAAAAGTATCTTTTGACTTTTTTTTTGGTATACGTTGGAAAACTGGAATTAATTATGCTAAGAAAAAAAAAAATAGAATTCATTATTACCAAGACGTCCTTTAATATTAGTTTACATATTAATCCCCCAATTATGAAAATAATAAAAATTACACCCCTTTTTGAGATAGTTTAAGATAAAAGTGATATATTTTCATAGTTTGAGGATAATTTAAATGAACAGGTTCTTAGGATGCAGGGAGTAAAGTGAACTCAACAAATAGTTGAGGGACTTCCTACTGTAATTAATCCAAAATATTACAAGTGAAATGTTATTTTGTTTGGTCATAGTTTGAGGACCAAACTACTTTATTTTCTATGGTTTCAAATAATTTGCCATTAAAATGCAATTGGTACCACACCTCCATATACACATTGGGAGGTTGCATTATCACAATTATTAGACTCAATCTTATGTAAAGGGAAAAAACTGTTGCTTGTTGCTACAACCAGGCATAAGGGAAATTTATGTAGGAAACACAAAGGGTTTGGATGCAGCTACAAAGACTCTTGAACAAGGAGGTTGGAAGCAGTATTTATGGGAAAAGTCATCAAAGCACAAAGGATTTGTTTCTGCAAAGAGTTGGGGCTGAAGATTGTCACAATTTTTGTGGACAATCGCCTGCACTACTACATAATATAGATATAAGATCACACTTTTTTGCGTGCTGATGTATGTTTTTAATCAACACCTTTTAAGTTTTATTAAAGTGTGGTCTTTAGAGTGTGATTAAAAATCGGTCATTTTTAATCCCACACTTTTTTAAAGATGTCATAAAAAAATGCTTTCCATCACATCTTTTAAGTGCTGATTAATAATATTTAGATCACACCTTTTTAAGTGTGATTTTAAAAAAACATTTTAGAATTCACACCTTTTAAGTGTGGTTAAAAAACATTAAGATCCACACCTTTTAAGTGTGGTTAAAAACATTAGATCACACCTTTTAAGTGTGTTTTAAAAACTTTAGTTCACACCTTTTAAGTTGATTAAAAACTTTAGTTCAACCTTTTAATGTGTATTAAAAACAATTTAACCACACCTTTTGTAAGTGTGATTAAAAATTTAGATTCACACATTTTTAAGTGTGGTTAAAATATTTAGATACACATTTTAAGTGTGATTAAAAACTTTAGTTCACCCACCTTTTAAGTGCTTGATTAAAAAATTTTTAGATTCACATCTTTTAAGTGTTGATTAATAACTAATAAAACCTAGTAATAAAACAAATTTGAACATTATTTTGAAGGAATAATCAATATTTATTTTTTATACGCGCATTTCCAGAAAATGTAATAACCACATTATATACTATACTTTAAATCACAAACCACATATTGAATAGGAATAACGTCGTACATTTTCATAAATGAAAAACTTAAATATGTTCAAAAGTATATACAAAGGAATTTAAATAAAAAGTTTTTTAAACTATGCTTACATATATTAAAAAATGGAAAAAACTTAAAAAACTAATAGTTCTTGAATTCTTTGACCATATTTTGTATCTCTCAAGAATTTCTAACCTGAAAAAATAAAAACAAAAATTAATTCAGAAACCGCTAGGAAGCATTTATGAATAAACTAACTATTTATGTTAGAATTGTATTCTAGTCTTATTAAAAGATAAAAATCCCTACCGATTTCACACCCTTTCAAATGTCTTAAGACTTGGACAACAAGTATTCATTTTCTTATATCGCTGTAAGGGAGGCAAAGATGAACTGAAAGATGGAAAGGGGCGAAGCATCAATGAAGACAAGCGTTTCACCAGTTCCTCCACAGGCAGCAAATTTGCTGACAGCACACAGGTTGTCATTTGTTAAAATTCATCAGAACCTGCACAAGGGAGCATATATAAAAATCGTTGCAATCATCACATGAATTCACAACTCAGTCAAACAATCTCAATTAAAACATTAGCCACTTCCATTGCTGATCTCTCATTTCTTTCTCCAACTTCTAATTCAAATATTCTATTGCGCAATAATAAAACCAATTAATATTAAAAAAAAATGCAACATTCAACTAATTTTAATATTATCAAAGATATTTTTACAGAAGATCTAGCTCTCTTTCATTCCTATTTCCCTCGATTAAACAACACACAATTCAAATCTTAAAATCAATTCATTTAGAGCAAAGCACACACCCTTTGAATCAATCAGACCAAAGTGCTAATGTACAGTTAATGTCACCAACTACATGTTAAAAACGATTTAAAATTGTAGCTATTTTGCCTGTTCTTTATTTTGAGTCAACACCATCACTTATTGTCTTATCTAATTGCCTCTGAATCCTATTTTTGTTGAAGTTTTGCATTATCTTGTGTGTTTAGTTTCCTATCTATATACCTTTGTTAACCATTTACTGTTGGTTTTACTTAATCAATTTAAAAAATTACTACAATAATTTTTTACAATAATTAGGCACCTTTGGTTTTAACAGGCCTTATTAACTCAATTACTTAATCACACTTTATGGGTTAAATGATCTAATTACACATGTTAGAAAAAATACAGATTTTGAGACAAAGATGAGTCATAAATACATTTTTATGAAAATTTTCGGTATTCATAAAACAACTGAATAACATTAAATTGGGCATGGTTAAGTTTGAAGACATTAGGTTATGGTGTGCCAATATCAAAAAGGTATAAAGCCTTCCATCCCAAAGGACATTCCATCCTCCTATCACTAATTTCAATAAGAATAATGATACATAAACATAGTTTTTATATATGATTCTCATAAATTCAAAAATATCATTCATTTTCAAATCATTTTCCTTTCACTAATATTACTTAAACAAGCAGTAAGTAATAAAATAATAAAATGATTATTAGGAAAAGTTGAGAAAGAGCTAACCTTTGGCTAAAGGCTTTGAGACCAAAGGTGGGAAAGTTACTAAATCCACAGCCATCAGCAGCAGTAAAGAACCATTGAAAAAGTGCATTAGTAAAGCTACCACAGAGGGAATAGAATAGCATCATTACTTGTTTCCTGCATCCAAATTAATTAACTCATTAGCTCCCAAAAAAAATTAAAAAAATAAATAAACAAGATGCTAATTCTGATAATTTTCCCCCACCAGCCCTCACAACTTAAATTTTAAAAAAAGATAAAAGTATGAGGAAAAATTGTAAATCAAGAATATAAATAAACCTATATGTTAGAAGTCAATTGTTTTTGTTAGAAAAAGTGTGGTATAAATATTTCTTCTCTTTTTTCCTACATTATCCATAGAAGGGTCAAACTATTCATTGGGTGTACTCGACTAATCTCAAGACTCACGCAAAGCATTTCCTTCCATGCGAGTCAGGCAAATCTTCGACTATGCTCACAGGCATAGTCCCTGAGCAATTGATAGCACTCAATGGGAGGAGAAGTTATGTGGTGGTCTTGGGGCATGGCTAGGTAGTGTCCAGGAATATTGTGATTGGTAGAATGAGTGGAGCCTATAATTTGGTGTTTGGTAATAGAAGAACAACGAGGGATATGACATTTGATAATTGGTAGGAGTATTACCATGTGATGCTCCAAGACTATCTAATAATTTTTTCAAATGGGAGTTGAATCTCAAACTTAATGCATCATGAGGGCCAAGTGGTAAGTAATATCAGTTTTAGTTCTAAATAGTTACATTGTGTGGTAAATAATATCAATTTTAGTTTTAAATAGATACATTAAATAAGATTAGGGTAAGAGACAGTATTAATTACTTGGCTAGTTTGGCTCCTTTAGGAGTGTGAAAGCTGTTGATGAGGTAGGCAGTTGCAGTTCCACTAGGGTATGTTAACTTGTACTTGAGTATCATCATCTGAGGAGGAGAGGAAAAACAATTCAAAAAAAAATTACAAATTAAAAAGCTTATCAATTAAATATATTATTAAAATTAAAATTGGTTTGTTGTAATAATCTATTATTATTATACCTTTCTAAGGGGTGCAATTGAAAAGAGACCAACAAAGCTGACAAGAAAAAGAAAACCAATCATCCAACCCAAAGATAGATTCTTCACATTGATTGGGTTGCTTGCTTCATCTGCTTGAGCTGCAATACGTCCACTCATTCCTAGTAGATAACTTGCAGTCCCACCTGATATAATTTATTTTGAAAACTTCACTTAAGCTCTCAAAAAGAATAAAAATAAATTCTTTTATGTAAGAGCTTTTCCAAGGGGGGGAAAATCTAGCATACAAGAGGAACAATTTTGTTTTTAGTAGGCAAGAGGCCCCCCAATTTCCACTACCATGCAAGGAAAATATCTAACTTCTCTAAAGATTGAAAAGCATCAAGGCATCAGCCATGTGCCTCAGAAGTTCCATAATCCATCAGGCTTCTTGTAACTAAATAAAAATGTAAGCTTTGATTCCAACTTTGCCTATTTCTCTCCAAAATTATTGGGGGTGAAAAGCAAAAATAAAAATAAAAATAAAACTCGAGAAAACTAAGCATGGTCAAACTATTTGAAGATGGACAGTAGGAAAGACATCCTTACATTAAAGATATTGAAGGATGCTTTCCTTGAAGCACATAGGACCAATATCCTTAGTTATGATACCTAATGCCTGAAAAGTGACACTACGATCCTCCATGATCATTTTAACATATCAACCTTCATCAAACTACTCTCAGCCCATATTATGTCAAGCAAAACATAGGAGGTGTACGTGTGTGCTCACATGTGTGTGCATAGGGGGAGAAAGAGAGGACCTTCTCTTGCCCTCAGGCCTCTGCCAACTTGCATTTCTCTATAAAACAAAACATCACTATTTGTAACTGATTACCGGCACAAAATCAAACAATGGATCAAGATAAGATAAAATTGAAGGAAAAAAAAATGCAAGAACAAAATGAACCCAATACACATTTATCAAAATACCCTACAGACAACTGAGTATCGAACAAGAGATCAATAACATATTTGGAGGAATGTAAACATCCATTGCCAAGTAAATTTAAGAATCCACATGAATACGGCAAAGAGAAACAGGTACTACAGAACTTGGCTTCAAATAAAAACAACATTAAAAATCAAAATAGTAACAATGCAATAGCAACAAAAGCAACATACTTAGATAAACAACCTGACCAACTTTTACTGCTTGCAGCAACTTTTCTTCGGGGAGGAAATTACAATAACCCTGTGGTGGACAAGTTACACAAATCAGTGAGATGATAGAGACTGTAACATGTTCTGTATCAGTTTTGGTGTACTCTGCATCATATCTTTTGTAAACAGGTTCAATAGAAGAAACAATTGAATATATAATTTCAACAAAGAATGAAGTGAAATAATTTAGGATCATTAAAAGAAGAATAAAGTGCAACAAATTCCTATCATATTTTAAGTATCTACCACCTGAAGTCCTTTTCCAAAAAAACAAAAAGATTGAAAAAGAACATGAAAGCCAAAAAGTATTTAACATCCAACAAAAAAAAGTGAAACCAGGAAAAAAAGGAAAAAGAAAATGTAAAAGCATACAAGGTTTACCACATTGAGTCTTGAATAGACAAAATTCATAACAAATAACATCATTTTCTTTCAACTTCTACCATCAAGAAGAATCCAATGCGGAACAGATAAGTCAGATGAGGATAAAGATTAAGATTTTTATTTATTTCGGAATTTTATTTATCTAGGAGTTTTATTTACTTGGGAAGTCAAGTTTGTTCAGGATTAGTTTGATTTGTCTATACATATGGACTTCATGTGATGGATTTAGTAGACTATATGATTTGAATTTTGATTCATTGAGAAATTTGATAACAGATTGTAATCCCCTGTTTATTCTTCTCTCCTTCTTCAATCTTCTTCTTCCTACTGGTGCTACATCAGAAAACACAACCACAAACTATTTTAAATCAAAATATATTGTTGAAGTTTCAACATCTAACTACTAATTTGGTTCAAAATGTCACCATTAAATGTAAAGCATTGCCCCAGAAAGTTGAAAATCAATCAATGCCAAGTTCGATAGATACAAAATTATTATTTAGGGTTTCAACTCACACTAACTGATTAATATATCGAAATTGTACTCTATTTCACATATTGTTAAAAGCAATCCAGGACACATTTCTAGAAAATTAACAAATCATAGTAAAATTGTGAACAAAGTAACAGTAATAGAGATCAGAATCATCAGAATCTAAAAACAATTATATACATACATATATATATAGAGAGAGAGAGAGACCTTTACAGCTAGTGCCCCTGTAAGTGTCTTAAATGCAAATTCTAGGCACGAATCGGACCAGGAATCCCCAGATGGATTGACTTCAGATCCTAAATTTTCCTGGTTTTTCATCTCAGTTTTTGGCCTTGCTGGTTGATCTTCTGGAACAGCTTGGTCCTCCAAAGGCTTCTCGTTAATGTCTGACAGTTCTGTGCCTCTAAAATCATGATCTGTAATCTGCGTTGAAATCGTCTGCAACGGTTTGACTTCAGTTTCACCAGACTTTCCAGCTGCAGCTCCATGAGCTTGTTCGCTTAACACACAGTTGGCCACCATCTTGAGTTTGAGCTCCTCGAGTCGTTTTGAAGACCGATGAGGCAAATCAAAGATTCAGAAGAGAGAGAGAGAGAGAGAGAGTGAGAGAGAGAGAGAGAGGAAGAAGAAACAAACCTAGTAGTCGATTGGTTCAGTAACCCTGGCAACCGAAGAGAAGAGATGAGATGATCAGCCTAGCAATTGTTTTGGCCTTCATCATCATCAGATAGAGAGAGAGATATTGAAACCCTTACGATGTTCCATCAAAATAGTTATTTTGGGGGAAAAATGTTGGCGCCCAAAATTTCATTTTAGCGCTTCTTTCTTTTTTCTTTTTGTTTTTTTTCTTTTTTTTTTTCTTTTATCATACAATTCACGATATGCATTGTGCGTCATGAAAAAGGCAATATTTTTAATGACAGGTGATGTGTGCGTCGTAAAAAGTATAATACTTTTGACGGTGGCCGTGGTGTGCACCGTGAACAATTCCCACAAAAGTAGGTAACACAGAGGGTCTGTTTGGTAACATTTACGTTTTCAGTTTATATTTACAAAAATTTTATAAATTAGTTTTTGTTTATTTTTAAAAAAACATAAACTAAAAACGAGTTTGGTAATTGACAAAATGTTTAAAAAAATTTAAAAATATAAAAAAGAGTGAGAAATGGCAAGTGGTGGCAAGTAGCGCAAAAGACGGTTGGTGGAAAGTGGTGATGGTGGGTGGTGGTGGAAGGTTTGATTTATAATCTCATTGCGTTGTCCTGTTATTTGTAACAATGGAGGGAGGCCTAGCATACATGTAGTCACCTAAACCCAATAAGTCCAATTAAAAAGAAGAAAATTTACTTAAATAAATTAAAATTTTAGATACAAAAATTTAGAGATAAAGTTACGTTTTAGGGACAAAATATTTTAATTGTTAAAAATGTCATTGTTGTTTTTTAGTGACAAAATTAGACTTTTAGTAACGAATTATTATCTTTCTAAAATCAAAATTTTCGTTTTAAAAAGTAAATTTTTTTTTCAAGGAATTGTTGTCCCTATATGTGCATTTGTTAAAGATTTTTTAAATTTTTATATACTGTAATGATTATTATTATCTAATAATTTTCCACTTCTAAGAATGCTCTAAAAAAAATATAGTAAATACAAATAAGGGCTGATTAGTCTCGATTTTTTTTTTGAGAAATTACAGATCAAGTGTGATTTTCAAAATAATTACATACTCATAATAAAGTTTATAACTTTAATAGTTAAAATTTATGAAGTATATCATGAATGAATGCAATTTTTTTTTTTTTCAACCAATACACTGACTGGTTATTTAGGGCCTGTTTGATAACGTTTACGTTTTCAATTTATATTTGCAAAAATTTTATAAACTCGTTTTTGTTTATTTAAAAAAAAAACATAAACTACAAATGCGTTTACTTTAGACAAAATATTTTAAAAAATTTAAAATATAAAAAAAAGTGAGAAATGACAAGTGGTGGCGGGTGGTGGGTGGTGACGAGTGGTGGCGGCGAAAGACGGTGGTGGAAAATGATGGCTGGTGGTGGTGGCGGAAGACGGTGGTGGAAAATGGTGGCGGGGGGTAGCTAGTGTTGGGTGGTAAAAAAAAAAAAAACTCAAAACTCAAAACGGAAACACATTTTTTGAGTTTACATTTTTTGGCCAAATTTATAAACTGAGACCACTGATTTATAAATCAAAAATTTACCAAACAAGTTTTTATTTGACTTTTTAAAATTTTTGTAAATATAAATAGAAAACTGAAAACGTAAGTGTTACCAAATGGCATCTTAGCAAACAGGCTTTAGATTGTAAAAATGTTGTAAAATTAACAAATAATTAAATAAGTTACCAACGTAAGAAATGACTTATCAAAAGATTCTTAGGCCATATATGGTTTGATTTTTAGAAAAAAAATTAAAAAATTAAAAATTAATTTGGTTAAGAAATAAAAACTAAAAAATAATTATCATTTAAGGGTAAAAAATAATTATCATTTTAACTTTTGGGCAGGTTATATACATACGTATGGCTGTTTCAATTTAATTTGTAAAAAATTATTTCTAACCACTCGAAAGATAAAAATGATATAAAAATGATAATTATTTTTTATTTCTTAACCAAATTAATTTTTAATTTTTTTTTTTTAAAAATCAAACCATACATAGCCTAAGAATTTTTTGATAAGTCATTTCTTATGTTGGTAACTTATTTAATTATTTGTTAATTTTACGACATTTTTACCCTCTGAAGCCTGTTTGGTAACCATTTCGTTTTCGGTTTTCAATTTATATTTACAAAAATTTTAAAAATTGTCATAAAAACTTATTTGATGATTTTTTTGATTTATAAATGATTGTCTCAATTTGTAAATTTGAGGAAAAAACGTAAATTCAAAAAATAAGTTTATGTTAGTTTTTAAACAGAAATTTAAAAATTTTACTAACACTTTTTTTTTCAATTAATTTTTTTTCAAATAATTTTGTTTCCCAATTAATTTTTTTTCAATGAATTTTTTTCCAACTAATACTAACCGATGGGGCAATTGGTAATGCTACTTTAAACCTTAGGGAGGGGATTGTAATTTCTAAAATGTAAGGGGTGTCAATATAATTTACCCAGTAAGGGCAAAATTAATATTTAAAAAAATTAAATTGCTAAGGGGGGAATCTGTAATGAAACTTTAAACCTCAGGGAGGGAGATGTATTTTTCAAAACGTGAAGGGGGAACTGTAATAAACATAAACCTTAGTGGGTGTCAGTGTAATTTACCCTATATATATACATAATCACACTTAATTAGAAAGTGACATAAAAAATAAATGTTATCACACTCAATCAGATTAAGTGTGATTAAAAATTTGGGAATTGTATATTTTATATAAAAATCAATTTGAAATATTTTATACAATCACACTTATTTAAAAAGTATGATTAAAAAGTAGTAATGTATATATAATCACATTTTAATTACATTGTGTGATTAAAAAATATATAAATAATCACACTTTAATTAGAATGTGTGATTAAAAAATATATATATAATCACACTTGTTTAAAAAGTGTGATTAAAAAGTAGTATTGTATGTATAATCACACTTTAATTAGTAAGTGTAATTAAAAAATATATATATATATAATCACACTTAATTGAAAAGTGACATAAAAAATAAATATTATCACACTTAATCAAATTAAGTGTGATTAAAATATCAATCTAACTTTTTTTATCACACTTCTAATAAAAGTGAGATCTTTTTTTTTGTCAAAGTGTGATCTTTAACTATTTTTGTAGTAGTGCTGTGTCCATGAACCCCAAAGGACTCTTCCTCTTGTTCTCAAAGTTTGGAGTGGTTAAAGACATTTTCATCCCCAATAAGGTCAAGAAATTTACAAGGACAAGATTTGGATTTGTCAAATTTGATTGTACAGAGGCGGCAAAGGTAGCAATCCAAAAAGCTAATAGGTTATGGTGTGATGATAAACAAATCAAAGTAAAGATGGCAGAGTATGAAAAAGATCAAGTGGAAGGTCAGGATGGTGCTGTTGTAAATGTGAGGAAAGGTACTACGAATGGTCTTGCTAATGGTCCCCCCAAAGAGTGTATCAGGGCGTAAAATCATCAATCATTTGATGATGGAGACAAGATGTCTTTTGCAGAAGTAGTGCGAGCTAGGACTATGGGTGAAAGGACTGTGGTAGCACATAAGGAAGGCAATGGGTGGCTGTATGAAAGTATCATTGTCCAAATCAAAAGCCATTATACGTTTACAGAGTTTGAGAGTGTGATTCATCTCAGAGGAGCGGATGATATAGTGGTAAGAAACGGATGAGGTAAGTGTGCGGTGCTAACGTTCAAGTCGGTGGCCATCATGAGGGAAATGCTTGTCCAGCTTGATGATACTCTTAAGGAGTGGTGTGATTATGTTACGGAGTGGAACAAAGGTGTTTATTTGGCCCAGAAGCTAAGTGTGTGGATTACCTGTTATGGTGCGCCGCTCAATGTATGGAACTATAACACGTTTAGAAATATTGGTAAGGTGTGGGGTGATGTGATTCAAATTGATAAGGCAACATTGAGAATGGAGTCCTTTGGGAGTGGCAAGATTCATATTGTCACAAAGCACATGCATCCTATCAACCAAGTGGTTAATTTGAATTGTAAGGGGTCATTGTACCCAATGCGAGTCTGTGAGGAGCAAGTGGTGGTGTCAAAATTGATTAAGGAAGTCTGTAAATGTTTATTACATATTCGTGACGATGATGGCAGCTCTATCGGTTAAGAGCTTCACAGTACTGTGAATAGAAAATAGAGTTCTGAGAAGACAAGTGAGGTGGAAGCCTCTGTGGACCGTGAAGTGGAGCACTCGAACGAGGTGGCAGTCAATGACCGGCATAATGGTGGGGGCTGTGCTGAGGAGGATGGAGTTGATGGTTCGGCTACTCTATCAGTGGTGGCTGAGACAGCATGTTGTGATCTTAAAAATCCAAATAACAAGTTGGCGTACAGTGATGCTCTTAAAACAGCCGTAATCACGGGAATTAATGTGCAACAGTCAGTTAGGGAGGTGGAGGATGAAATTATCACACCTGGGTTCATTACAAATGCTAATGGACTTGAGGTGGATAGATCTCAAATTAATGTGGAAGTTTCACTGGGTATAGCCCAAACAAGTGGGCCTCTACATACTGGGCCTTTGTATCAATTATATAGAAAAGCCCACAAGGAAGCAATGAAGTGGACAACCATGATATTATTAGCATTTCAGCCCAAATCCATGACAGAGTTGCTGTGAAGTCAGGTACTGGGGTAGAACGTATGAGGGACAGATTTGTGAGCCCTAACTTGCAGAATATAGTAAGGAGAACCAGAAAAAGGAAAAAGATGAGCAAGACAGAGATGAATGTGATTAGGAGGCTTGCTAGGTACATAAAAATCTCAAAGATTCGAGGGTCAATGCCAATTGGGAGTTGGCATAGGGGAGTTCTCTTTCGGGCAGCATTGAATACGGTATCTTCATCTTTGTCGGATCGCCATGATAATGACAAAGAGAAGCAGTTAGTGTCCAAGGCTCAAGAAACTATTGGAGTTGGAAGGATATTAGGTCTTAATTGTAATAGGATGGAGCAAAAAGCAATTCAGAGATGTATGGAATTAGAACAGAATGATGTAGATCGGGAAGCAATTCGACGAGTGGGTGTTCATCCTTGAGCACCATAAGTAAAAGGCTTGGGAGTTTAAGTATTGTTTAATGAAGATTTTATCATGGAATATCAAAGGTTTCGGTAGGTGTAGGAAGTGGAGGAAGAT